CTCTGAGCTGGGATTGCTAGAGTTTACTTTTTATTTTTCATAATAAAATAAAATGTGTTAATGTTCTCATAAAAGGTTTTGAAGTCTCCTTTGATATCTAAGAAGAATCTTTAATGCAAATCCTCACAGCTTCAGGATCTTTCTGACCTTGATGAAAGGGAGAAGGAAGATATCATGGTAGCAGCTCAGAAGCAAAACCTGAAGTTCTTCTGTGCTCTAGAGGTGGTGTTGCCAGCCTATGAGTGCAGGAGTCCTGTCATTGGCATAGCTGAGGGGCCTGTGGATAAGCAGGAGGAAGGTCTGTTTCCATGTGGGGATAACAGTGAGGGCAGGAAAAGGGTTTCCATTTAGAACTCCTTTCAGATGCAGTATCAGGCCTCCTCTTGCTAAATTACAATCTGTATTGTAAAGAAGAGTCTTTGTGCCTTACAATATAGATTTTTACCCTAATCCCTAGGTAATAATACCAAATAGAACCTTTCACTTTGAAATTTGAGCCCTGCAACCTGCCAAAAAAGTTTAAACTGAAGGTAATGCTGTTTTCCAACATTGGATTAAGGACTTGCTTTATGTTGAAGTAACCCTTTGATTGGGAGCATTATTAAGCACTGGACTGCTAACCACAAGGTCAGCAGTTTGAGCCCACCAGTGACTCCAAGGGGAAAGATGAGGCTTTCTGCTCCTGAAAAGATTTACAGCCTTAGAAGCCCTATTCAGGGTCACTGGGGATCAGAACTGACTAGATGGCATTTAACAACAGCAAAAGCAAGTCCTTCAAATACAGATCTCTTGTAGGCCTCAGTTATCCCAGCAAAACCACCATCTAAAGCTCTAAATCAGCTCTCATGTATATGTTCAGTCCTTTGCTTCCTCATGGAGGGTCATGAATAAAAATAGAGTCAAGTTCGGCTGGTACAGAGTTTTTTCCTAGAATGCAAGATACTCAATCTTAGGGTTTTAAGTGAGCAGAGCTGTTGGTGAGTGGCTACTGTTTGTGATACCCAGGGAGACGCTGTTGGTGATACCCAGGGAGACGCCAGATCATCTGCCTTGCCACCAAACCTTTCTCAGTGTGTGATTCCAGCCTTGAGACATGGGCAGACAGTAGGGCTGTTAGAGTGTAGCTTCACCTTGTCAGTTTGAAATTTCTGTGGGATGTGAGATTTGTGGCAAGTTCCTGGACTGTATCTACCTTTCTAGTGCTTCAGGGACTTCTGGAATAGAGTAGCCAGTAAAATTGTGTCTACCTTCTGGGGTATACCTATGACAGAACTGAGCGATGCTTGCCCTTAATCAAGATGATCACCATCTAAGAATAATGGTTATGTTTTAATTGTTTTAAACATATGACATAAAGATGATCATTCAGAAAATAATTCTAAATCCATTTGTTTGGGTTGAATTCAGAACCATTATCGTTCCTTATGAAACGGAAGTTAACCCAGTAGCTTGCCATTCAAAAGGCTTTCTCAGATGCATTCCAGAAACTGTTGATCGTGGTTTTAGGTAAGACTTTCTTGATGATCTCAGAGGCATTCAATTTCAATGAGAAGTTAACTCATTTTGAAAAGTGAATTGGAGGCATTTTTGGATATCTAAAGCACTCTAGATTATTCTTTACCAAACTGGTTGACAGCAACAGTCTCCAACTTGTTCTTCATGACATCTGTGAGAAAAGTAACAGCAAATATGACTGAACCTATTTATAGGTGCAGAATGACCTGCCTTGGTTCATACAGAGAATAAGTGTTTGATTCAGATCTTCTTTCTCAATTGCCTATCATGCAGATTAGCATGATTATAAGTTTAGACACCTAGATTTGAGTCCTAGCTCTGTCTCTTCAATTGCTAATGCATTTTTAGGTTTTATAGCCAGAGAGATTAGAAAATATTTAATCTGTCATCACCACCACCACCAAGCTGCCATTTCGTCATCTGGAAAACAGGATTAGTAGTGCAACCTACCTCATGGGGTTATTGTTAGAAGAAATGAGATGAATGAATAGAATTTAGAACTCTGCCTGCTATACTGTAAGCAGGCAAAATATGTCAACTCGTGTTATTGTCATTGTTGTTCTCCTATAAGAGAGTACCAGACTATCTTCTCTGAATCAAGAATTTTTATTTGACTGAGTGAATAACACTGATACAATAATAAGCTGCATTCTTAGGAGTCTGCACATACTCTTTCAAGTGGTCATGTTGTTGGATGGCATTGACTGTGCTTTCCTGTGGATTTCTTCAGTGGGCTCAATGTTACAGACAATGCCCAAAGGAAACTATGATTAGCAGAGAGTCCTTGAACAGAATTGCTCCCCTACATCATAGTCCTGCAGGCATAGAGACCCAGAAACCCTAACAAAATTATCAGAGAGCCTTATGTGTAAGAGATGGCCCTAGATTGGACTCTGCTTTCCAGCCTGGCCAGTGAGTCTGGCTTCCCTGGTCACAAAGTACAATCTCCATCAACTGGAAACTCCGAGTAACAACCTGGAAAAAACAAACCAAATGACTGGCTTGCTTACATCTCCTTAATGGTGGCGTTGAGAAACACTGGACTGCTAACCACAAGGTCAGTGGTTCAAGTCCACCAGCCAGTCCTTGGAAACTCTATACAGGGTCACTATGAGTCAGAACTGAGTACGGCACTGAACAACAACATATATGCTGAGAAGTCCCTGAGTAATGCAGAAGGTTAAGCATTAGCCAAAAGGTCTGTTCGGACCCACCCCCTGGTGCCTCGGAAGACAAGCCTACAGATCTGCTTTCAAAATGTCACAGCTTTGAAAGTCCTATGGAGCAGCTGTACTCTGCACATGTAGGGTCACCAGATACCGGAACCGACTCCACAGCAACTAACAACAATGGACTGAAGAAATATTCCTTGTCACAAACTCAAACCTAAAAGCTTGTGGCTCATGTTTGCCTCGATGGGAAGTTATATTGTCTTTGATGTACATGGATTCAGTTTAGGCCAATAGAGGCCCCTAGGTGGTGCCAATGGTTAGTATTCTATTGCTAACCTGTACTAGTACTAATTAATGCCATGGAGCCAGTTCCGACTCATAGAGACCTAGTATAGGGTTCTGAGACTGATGGGCTTGCAGTTAGCAAGCTGGTGCTTATTGTACAGCACCACACTAGGACTCCAACTGCTAACCTGGTGGTAAATTGGAAGCTTTGTAGTTGGCTTCCATTAAGATTGTAGCCAAGAAACCCAATGGGGCACAGTTCTACTCTATAATACATGGAGTCACCCATGAGTTAGAATAAACTCGATGGCAGCTAACAACAGCAAAATGTGCAAATGTTCATTTTTTTGTCCAAAGTTTTGTTCATTGTATTTACTGGAATATTGGTTCCCAAGGAGTTAGACGTTTGCTTCTTGCCTCTAATATGAAATATCTACTATAGTCCTGCTGTGGCGCTGTGGGTTAATGTGCAAACGACTGCAAAGTCGTTTGAACCACAAAGTCGGCAGTTCAAGCCCACCAGTCACTCCTTAGAAACCCTATAAAGGGGCGCTATAGGTCAGAACTGACTCAACAGCACTTAACAACAACAACGATAGCCCAAAGGTAGCCTAGTAATAACAAGTTGGACTGCTAACTGCAAGGCCAACAGTTCAAATGTACCAGTCAATCAATGAAAGAAAGATGAGGCTTTCTGCTCCCATAAAGAGATGTAGCCTCAGATACCCTGAATGGGGTTGCAATAGTCAGAACCAACTCCACAACACACAACCACCACCACTGCCACTATAGCTCAGTGGTCTTTTTCCCAATTTTCAACTCACGTTGACCCCCCTCCCAATGTCTTGCTATTTTAATCATATTTTGATTAAACATTTTTGTTCCTACAGCTTTTATTTCCTGTCATGATTCCTAAATCAGTTTCTACTTCTAATATTGTATAGTTCTTTGAACCAAACACAGTTGATAATATATACCCTTAAACGAGTTTTGATGATTAAAACTGAAGTATGAGATGAGGAAACTTCAAGGAAAAGTGCTCTTACCATCTTCTTTTAGGGATCAAAAGCCTGCCAGCCACTGCTGTCAACCTTGTATGTGGTTTCCAAGACTAAATCTTTACAGGAGCAGACAGTCTTATCTTTCTCCTGCAGGGCAGCTGGTGGGTTGGAACCACCAGCCTCTGAGTTTGCAGTCCAGTGCCTAACCCACAGTGCCACTAAGGACCAGGGCTCCTTAGGAATCACAAGAATGCCTTGTTATTAAGTGCTGCCATTGTGCGGAGTCCTGGTATGGCACTGTGGGGTACTGCTCTGGACTGCAAAGTCGGTTTGAACAGCAAGGTTGGTGCTTCAAGCTCACCAGCCTCCTTGGAAACCCTATTCAGGGTCGCTATGGGTCAAAACCAACTCAACGGCACTTAACAACAACAACAACAACAACCATTGTATGTCAGGAGAAAGATGAACATTTCTGCACCTGCAAAGATTTGCAGTCTTGGAAACCCTATATAGATTGGCTATGATTTGGAACCAACTCGATGACACTTAACAACAACAACCATTGTATGTGGAGTCATAGGGTGTTACAAATGGTTGGCTGCTAACTCAAAGGCTGGCTAACCAAATTGGTAGCAGTTACAAGCAGTTGGTTGTTTTGTTTTTTTATGCAACAAGTTTTAAAACAATAATTTTGAATTATTCTTTGTTCATTTTATTTCAGAAAGTGGTAAAATAGCTGTGGAGTATATACCCAGTGAGGAAATCATATATTCCAGAACCGAGGAAGAACTCCAGGAGTTCACTCATATATGTGGAGATGCATAGCTAGTGTGGCCATCATTCCAAACAACCAGTAGGATTGAGAGAACTCAGACACTCACAGAAAGTTGTCAGTCTTATGAGACCATGAAACTCTGAAACTGCTTTTCAGGGCAAGTCATTCCTAGGGCTTTTCCTGAAGCCTTGGCCCTTGACTCTGATTCTTTATCTAAAGTTTGGAGAGCAGGATTGAGAAGCATTAGAGCACTCAGGCAGCTGTGGACAGACCTAAAGAGGTCTTAACCCCTTAAGAGGTCATTCTTCTTCTTTAGGGCTTAAGAATGGGAGGCTGCTTAAACCAGGCCTTTTCGAACTTCCCTCAAACAGGATCCCAGGGGTTGGGGAACTAAAGAACTATGGCTGAAAGTGTGAATGTTCTATAACTCTTGAAAACTGTTGTGCCTTACAAATAAAGTGTATTGCCTAGATCTCAGAACCTCATGTCTTATATGAAAATGAAATGGTATCCTGAAGGAACTTTTTGTAATAAATCTATTGCCTAAATTAAGCATTAATCCGCCAGGATCATATCTAAAAGAAACTTTGTTAACTAGGATTCTTTTCTTTAATAATAATGATAATATCAATGAAGTTGGGAGCAGAAAGTTGTGTTTTGTTAACCTGGATCAATGGGAGCTTCACTGAGTTGCTGGATGTTTGATTACTTAATTCACCCCACAGTTGCAAAGTGTGTTGTTTTGAAGGGAAGAAGGTAGAAAAAGAGAAGGTTGTTCTCTTCTGAGAAAGTGCTTGATTTTTCCATGTAAAATAATTGTTTTCATTAATTTAAATAAAATCCAGTCAAGGGAACTTCAGGCTTTTCCAACTGTGCTATAAGAATTCTAGCTCCTGTTGAATATAAGATTCAATATTGGTGCTAAAGATTTATGAAGCCTCTTTTTTAAAAATGTTTTATTATGAATTATGTGATAGTTTACATGGGAGAACATTATTTTACATTCATCCTATTGTATGTCTTTTCATTGCCATGGTTACAATCCCCTCCATGCATCATCGCCCAACCAAAGGGTATACGCTATAAGACTCCCCCCCCTCCTCCAGTCGTCAGCACACAGCCCCTCTCCCTCTCTGAGTCTAAAGTCTCCAGCTGCTCCATCTCTCCACATCATCGTCTCAGCCTCCATCTCAGGCATCACTGCTTCTGAAGCCTCTTAAAGCAAAAGGCCTATCCTTATGAAGCCATCTTGGAGTCAGTTTCATTTGAAAACCATTACTATGTGTCAACTCATATATATGCTTCCCACTGCCCTGTAGCCACGCTATAGGACTGAACACATATGCTAGACACTGGGAATGAGATGATGAAGCGTGCCCCCTCCCCCCTTGAAGAAAGTGTATATGCTAGAGGCTGTACTAGAAAATAAGAAGATGCTTCAAAAAGTTCATTTTAAAAATTGAATGAAAAGATAATGGAATTTTTCCATGAACTCTCTGAAACCCCCTCGGTAAAGAAAATATTATAAACAAGTGGGTGTGGTTTTAGTAGTATTTCAAGAAGTCATTAACATGCTAGCTACTTTGACATCCTTCTCCATGTCCACAAAGCTACAAAGGTGGACCTCCGAAAAGTTGGGATATTTTTTCTAGATGTGTGACTGTGATGAATGAAACAGGGTGAGATGGGGCTAGTTTTACCATGCCAACGTGAAATGCTTTGTATTGGGATTCAAACCCTCTCAGACCAAACTGCTCTTTCTCTAAGCCTCCTCCAGAAAGTTTGGTATCATCACTGAGTAGTGGTGGTGGTGGGGTTATGTGCCATGGAGTCGATTCCGACTCATAGCGACACTGTACAGGGTTTCGGAGGCTGTAAATCTTTCCGGGAGCAGGAAGCCTCATCTTTCTCCCGCGGAGTAGTGGTCCCCTACCTAACACAGTGGTGAGTTAATACATATGGAACAAAGAGGAGAGGAGAGTTTAGAGGAAATAGCAACCTTTTGGAATCACTTTAATGTCTGGGTGTTGATGCCCCAAAACAGCTCTCGTTTTACGGGTCAGTTACTTTTCTTGGAAGCAGTATGGCCAAGATGAGGAAGAAGGTCTGGGGTTGAATTTGGAGGTGGAAGAGTTCTGGCTGCCAGAAACGGACTAGCACTTTCGAGTATATGCCTAGAAGCTGGTGAAGCTGGAGCCTGAGGGCTGAGGTGGGGACAGAAGTCCTAATCCTGCCTTGCTGTGAGGGTGGGGGATATGAAACCCTGCCTCATCTTCTAAGGAAGGGAAGCTTGGGATCTGGTGATTCTAGGAAAAGGGCTGGCCATAGTGGCATGGAACCGACCTCTGAGTTAATAAAGGTGGTGCGTAAACAAAGGTGTCATAAATAAAGGATGGGGCACGCGGCATGGGAGGGGCACGCGGTTGCTAAGGTGCGCGTGCATCATCAAGGGCTGTCATAAAGGTTGGGCTCCCGCTTCGGGCGCAGCGCCGGTGGTGCTTCATTTGCCTGGGTCGCTGCACCGGGAGCCTCCCGTGTCATGTCCTGACAGTGCGTCTGGTCCCGGCAGCTCCTATTGGCGCTGCAACCCCTTTGGCTGCTGGTCCTGGCTGCCCCGCTCCCAGAGTGGGGCCGGGACCTGACTGAACCCTGGTCTTCGCACTCCCCTGATCACCTACCCAAATCGCCCCTCAAATTTATATCCTTGCCTGAGCCAGAGGGCTCTGACTACATGGATCCTCCCGCTCCAGCCCAGATGCTAGCCCAGCCTCAGGAATTAACTGAGGCTTTGGACATGGATTCCGCTTTTGAGCCACCCCCAATGCCAGACCAGTTTTCTGGCACACATCAGGATCTTAATGACCACCTAACTCCACATCAGAGGTGGGTCCTGTGCTAGACTGGGATCAGAATCAGGTGGGACCTTTTCCAGTCAAGCAGGACGTTCCATCTCACCCTCCAAAGTCCTCTGTGGAGGTGGGGCTTTTTCCAGTCCAGCAGAAGTTTCCAGCTTACCCTCCAAAACTCTCTGAGGAGGTGGGACCTTCTCCAGCCCAGCAGGAGGTTCCAGGTCACCCTCCTAAGCCATCTGTGGAGGTGGGACCTTCTCCAACCCAGCAGGAGGCTCCAGCTCACCCTCCTAAGCTCTCTGAGGAGTTTGAACCTTCTCCAGTCCTGCAGGAAGCCCCAACACAGCCTCCAATGTCTCCACAAGAGGGTGAGCCTTCTCCAGGGCAGCAGGAGGCTCCATCTCAGGCTTCAGAGCCCCCTGAGGAGTTTGGACCTTTTCCAACACAGCATGAGGCCCCAACCCAACCTTCAAAGCCCTCTGAGGAGGTGGAAACTTCTCCTGGCCAACAGGAGAACCCCTGGGTGCAGCTCTAGAACACCTTGAGGAGATTGAACCTTCTCCAGTCCAGCTAGAGGCCCCAGCTCCCCCTCCAGAGCTTCCTGAAGAAGTGGAACCTTCTCCAGTCCACCAAGAAGCTGCTGCACAGGCTCCTCGGCTTCCCCAAGAGTTCAAATCTCCAACTGAGCAGGCGGCTGTTGTTCTACTTGCAGAGCTCCCTGAGGAAGTAGAACTTTCTCCAGTGCTGCAGGAAGTTCCAGCAGAGCCTCCAAAACCATCTGAGGTTATAGAACCTTCTGCAAGTCACCAGGAGTTTCCAGGTGAGACTCTAAGTCTCCCTGAAGAAATTAAACCTCCTTCAACAGAGCAAGAGGCCCCAGCTGCACCTCCAGAGCTCCCTAAGGAGAGTGAAACTCCAGTCCAGCAGGAGGCTCCAGCTTTGTTTCCAGGTCCCCATGAGAAAGTCAAACCTCCAGTCCAACAGGAAACCCCAGCACAGCCATCAAATCTTCCCCAGGAGGTTAAACCTCCGACCCAACAGGAGGCACCAGTTCAGCCTGCAGAGCCCATTGAGGAGGTTGAACCTTCTCAAATTCATCAGGAAATCCTAGCACAGCCTCCAAAGCCTCCCCAGGAGGCTAAACATCCAACCCAGCATAGAGTCCCAGGTTTACCCGCAGAGCTCCCTGAGGACATTAAACCTCCAGTCCAGCAGGAAACCTCAGCACAACCTCCTGAACCTCCTCAGGTTAAACCTCCATCACAGCATGAGGCCCCAGCACAGTCTTCAAAGCCCTCTGAGGGTATTGCACCTTCTCAGACTCAGCAGGAATTGCCAGCGAAACCTTCAAAGCCCTCTGAGGAAATCATACCTTCTCCAACCCAGGAGGAGGCCCCTGTTCAGGCTTCTCCAGTGCAGCAAGGGGGCGCACATCAGCCTGTAAAACTCCCTGAAGAGGTGGAACCTTCTCCAGCTCAGAAGGAGGCCCCAACTCAGACTCATCTTTCAAACTTGTCCAATGTTACAGTTAAGCCTGTTGATCTGCAGCTTACCTTAACTCCAGAACCCACTAAGGAGGCTCATTCATGTCCAATCCAGCTTGATGTCCCACCTCAACCTCCAGAGACTCCTTCTGAGAAGGGGAAATTGGCAAAGAAACAGGAGTCTCCAGTTCAGTCGTCAAAGACTCAGGAAAATGTTCAGCCTCCTCCAGTTCATCCTCCTGAAGAGGTCAAACCTCCAACCCATCAGGAGGACCTAGCTCAGAAACCAGAGTCCCAAAGGGAGGTTTTAACTCTACCTTCATTGCATGATGAAGTGACATGTCAACCTCTAGATCCTCCACAAATTCAGCATTCAGTCCTGCCTCAAGTATCAGTTAAACCTGTGGTAGAACATTCTCCAACACAATGAGATGCCCCGATTCAGCCTCCAGAGTCCCCTGAGGAGACTGGACTTTTTTCAATTGAGGGGCAAATCCTAGCTCAACCTCCATATCCACCTAAAGAGATCGAATCTTCAACCCTGCAAGAGGACCCAGATCCTGCTGATGGTTCCCAGCATTCTCTAATTGAGCAGGAGGACCCACCACAACTTACCGAGCTCAATAAGGAGGATGAAACTTCTCCAATCCAGCAGGAGGACCCAGCTCAGCCTTCAGAACTCTCTGAGGAGGTTGCACATTCATCAATGCAACACAACCCCCAGATCCCATTAAGACGGATGAACCTTCTCTTACCCAGCTGGAGGACCTATCACTACCTCCAGATCCCCCTAAAGAGGTTTTAAATCAACCAGGAGTCCATCATGAGGTGATGGTTTTACCTCCAGGACAATGTGAAGCTCAGCATCTAATGTTGCCCAATGTCACAGTTAAACCTCTGGATCTGGAGTTTACCATAACTTCAGAAGCCACTACAGAGGTTCCACCACCAGTCCAGCAGGAAACCACAACTCAATCTCCAGAGCTCCTTGATGAGATTGAACCTATTCCAAGCCAGCTGGTGGCCCCAACTCAAACTCCAGAGCATCCTACAGAGGATGAACCTTCTCCAAACCAGCAAGAAGAGTCATCACAGACTCCAGAGTCCACTGAGAAGGTTGAACCTTCTCCAGTCCAGGAGGAGGGCCCAACAAAGCCTGCAGATCCCACTGAAGAGGTCCAACTTACTTCAGGCCAGCAAGAAGCCACAGTCCATCTTCCAGAGGAACCTGAGGAGGATGAACCTCCTCCAAACATGCAGGAGACCCCACCTGAGACTTCAGAGCCTCCTACAGAGGTGGTAACTCAACATCCAGGGGATCATGCAGCAACAGTTTTACCTATAGGTCAGAATGAAGCTCAGTATCCAACAGTGCCCCAAACCACAGTTAAACATCTGGATCTGGAGCTTACAATAACTTCACAACCCACTACAGAGGCAGGACCTTCCCCAAGCCAGCTAGAGGCTTCATCCCAACCTCCAGTTGAACCTTCTCTATTCCATCAGGAAGCCTCAGTTCAGCCTCCAGAACACTTTGAGGAAGTAAACCCTTCTTCAGCTCAGCAAGAGGTGCTAGCTCAACCTCCAGAATCCCCTGTGCAGGCAGAGATTTCTCCAGCCCAGCAGGAGGCCCCAGCTCAGTCTCCTGAGCCCCCTAAGGAAATCGAGCCTTCTCCAGGCCAGCAGGAGGCCCCAACTCAATCTCCTGAGCCTCTTATGCAGACAGAACCATCTCCAATTCAGCAAGAGGCCCCATCTCAGCATCCAGCCCCCCATAAGGATGTTGAGCCTTCTCTAGCCCAAGAGAGCTCTGTTCAGTCTCCTGAGCCTCCTATGCAGATAGAACCTTCTCCAACCCAGCAAGAGGCCTCATCTCAGCTTCTAGAGCCCCTTAAGGAAGTTGAACCTTCTCCAGTCCAGCAGGGATTCTCCACTCAGTCTCCTGGACCACCTATGCTGGTAGAAGCTTCTTCAACTCAGCAGGAGATCCCATCTCAGCCTCCAGGGCCCCCTAAGGAAATTGAACCTTCTCCACTCCAGCAGGGAGTTGAAACTCAGGCTCCTGAGTCCCCTATGCAGGTCGAACCTTCTTCAACTCAACAGGAGATCCTATTTCAGCCTACAGAGCCTCCTAAAGAAGTTGGGCTTTCTCCTACTCAGGAGATTCCACCTCAGTCTCCAGAACTACCTAACGGGACACCATATCCAGTACAGCAGGAGGTCTCCAATCCACCTCCACAGCCCCCTGAATTAGTAGGCCAACTTTCTCTAGTCCAGCAGGAAACACCTACTCCATTTAAAGAGCCCCCTGCAAATGCAGAGCAGGAGATGCCAACTGCACCTCCAGAACCCCCTAAGGAGATAGAACCTTCTCCAGTCCAGATGGAGTCTCCAGCTCTACCTCCAGAGTCCTCTGAGAATAACCCACCATCTCTAGCCCAACAGGCAGCCTCTGCCCTGCCTGCAGAACCCCCTAAAGTGGTTGAACCTTCTTCAATCCAGCAAGAAGTCCCAGTTTCACCGTCAGGTGAAATAGAGCCTTCTCCATCCCTGCAGGAAGTCCCACCTCAGGTTCCTGAGCCCTCTAAGGAGGCTGTGCCTTCTCCAACCCAGCAGGAGGTACAAGTGCATCCTTCAGAGCCCCATAAAGAGATGGTGCCTTCTGCAGTCCAGCAGGAGACTCCATATCAGCCTCCTATGTCTGCTAATGAGGTGGAATCTTCAATCCAGCAGGAATCTCCAACACAGTCTTCAGAGCCTACTGAGATGGTGGAATCTTTGACAACCCAACAGTGGACCCCAGCTCAACCTCTGGAACCTCCTAAGGAGGGTGTGGCTCAACATCCAGTGTTCGATGAGGTGACAATTCCACCAACAGGCCAATATCAAGCTCAATACTTAAGCCTACCCAGCGTCACAGCTCAACATATTGACCTGGAGCTTACCATAACCCCAGAACACACTATGGAAGTTGAGCATTCTACAACCCCACAGAAAACTATAACTCCTCCAAATTGTCCTGAGGTGACACTTGTACATTCAGAGCAGGTTCAGGCTCAGCAGCCAAACCTGACTGAAGTCACAGTTTAACCACTGGACTTGGAGATTACTATAACTCCAGAACCCAATATGGAGGTTGAACTTTCTCCAACAACACTGGCAGGTCAGAATCAAGCTAAGCACTCAAACTTACCCAATGTTACCATTAAACCTGTAGACCTGGAGCTTACCATAACTTCAGAACCCAATACAGAGGTTGAGTCTACTCCAACCAAGCAGGAAACTCTAAGTCAGCCTCCAAAACCTCCTAAGGGTTTTGTAGCTCAACATTCAGCACATTATGATGTGACAGATCCACCTATAAGTCAAGATAAAGTTCAGCATTCAAACGTGGCCAGTGTCACAGCTAAACCTGCGGACCTTGAGCTTACCATATCTCCAGAATACAAAACTGAGGCTGAACCTTCTCAAACCAGTCAAGAGACCCCAACTCAGCCTCCAGAGCCACCTGAGGAAGTTTTAACTCAATTTCCAGTGTATCATGAGGTGGCAGTTCCACCTACAGGTCAAAGTCAAGCTCAGCATTCAAACTTACCAAACATCACAGTTAAGCCTGTGAACCTGGAGCTTACCATAACTCCAGAACCCACTATGGAGACGACAGCTTCTCCTGAGAACCCTGAGGTAACATTTCCACCTCCAGACCAGGTTCAGGCTCAGCATCCAAATCTGACTAAAATTACAGTTCAACCTTCTGACCTGGAACTTACCATAACTCCTGAATTCACTACAAAGATTGAACATTCTACAGCCCTGCAGATGACCACACTTCCTCCACAGCAAGTCACCATTCAGCCTTTGGATTTGGAGTTTACTGTATCTCCAGAGCTCCTTACAGAAGTGCAGCATTCTACAGCCCTGCAGAAGACCACAGCTACAGGTCAATCTTTAGATCTAGAGCTTACCGTGTCTCCAGAACCCACAATAGAAGTCAAACATTCTACAGCCCTGCAGAAGACCACAGCTCCTTCTCCAAAGACAGCTACAGGTCAATCTTTAGATCTAGAGCTTACCATGTCTCCAGAACCCACAATAGAAGTCAAACATTCTACAACCCTGCAGAAGACCACAGCTCCTCCAAAGCAAGTTACAGCTCAGCCTTTGAATCTAGAGCTTACCATCTCTCCAGGGCCCACTATGGAGGTCAAATACTCTACAGCCATGCAGAAGACCACACTTCCTCCAAAGCAGGGTACAGTTCAACCTTTGGATTTAGAGCTAACCATACCTCCAGAACCCACTATGGAGGTCGAACATTCTACAGCCCTGCAGAAGACCACATCTCCTCCAAAGCAAGTTACAGTTCAACCTTTGGATTTAGAGCTTACCATACCTCCAGAACCCACTATGAAGACCGAACGTTCTACAGCCCTGCAGACAACCACACCTCCTCCAAAGCAAGTTACAGTTCAACCATTGAATCTAGAGCTGACTATAACTCAGCAACCATCTGAGGCAATTATTTCCTCCCCAGCGACTCAGCATGTATTGGCGCATTCTGTAAATTACACCCCAGAAAGGGTTGCTCTAACTGAGCAACAAGAACAGAATGCCATTATATATCACACCCCAAAAGGGGCACAAATGACTTCAACTAAGCAACAAGAACAGAATGCTGTTTTACATCACACCCAAAAAGGGACACAAATGGCTTTAACTATGCAACAGGAACAGAGTGGCACCAATAGAATGAATATTAACATATGTGAGCTATGTATCTGCCAAAATGAGACACTGTCCTGTACAGGCCTCCGCCCAGAGAAGAGGCTCCACAGAGTGCCTGTGCCAGAGCCCAACACGTACAATGGCACCTTCACTGTCTTGTAAGAATGATTTTCTCTCATTTATTCTCTACACCTGGCTTGACTTAACAGCTGTTTTCTTGAGGTCTTTCTGGGCTTCCTTGTCTTCTCAACCCAGTTTTTTTTTTTGCCTTTTGTATGTCAATTTTGCCTTATCTTCATTCTTCTCCTTACTAGTGTGCCCATCTTTCTGGTCTTTTACTTACGATTGCCCTTATTATTTTTCTTTGCCCTTTTTAAAAAACATTTTATTGTGTAGTTTGAGTGAAATTTTCTTTGCCCTTTTTAAAAAACATTTTATTGTGTAGTTTGAGTGAAATTTTACAGAATCAGTTAGTTTCTCATTAAACAATATATATATATATATATATATACATTTTGTTTCATGACATTAGTAGCAATCAGCTCAGTGTAATAAAGCACACTTCCTCTCTGGGTCCCCCTGTTTCCATTCACCCATCTGTCCTGCCCCTTCCTGCCTTCTATACTTGGGTTCTGAGCAAATTCTTCCCTTTTGCCCAATGTTTGTTTGTTCTGGGGAACACATTCTCCATAGATATTACTGTACACTTTATAGGTCTATCCAAAACCTTGGACCAGGATCCTAATAAGAGTGCTCGGTAGTGGTAGATGGGTCCTATCTAGTTCTGGTCTCTAGCTAGTGGAGGCTGTTGTGGCTCGTGTCTGTTGTTTCACAATTTCATGCCTTACCCTCTGCTCTCACCTCAATTTTACTCTATCCTTTTCACAAGATCATGTCTCTTTTCCCGTTTCACTAATGATAATACAACAGGATGGTTAAAAGAAGAGATTCTAAAGCCAAACTGTCTGGATTTGAACCCACCTCTGTGACTCAGTTTCCTCATCTGTAAAGTTATTGTTTCAGGATTGTTTTGAGATTTAAATGAGTTCACAAATGTGAAGCATTTATCTCAATGCATAGCATATATGTAAATGTTAGCTGTTGTTATTATACCCCTCAGTTATGTCCAAACCTCAGCTTTGTCCCTGACTTTCACATAGCACCCATGTTGTGTTTAATCCAGAGCTAAATACTGTGAGATCCACTGAGTATAAGACATTAGCTTGGAAACAGAACAATGATAAATGGGAGAAAGGGAATATACCTGAAAAAGGCAGTGGCATATAATTAAGTCCTAAAAGTTGCAGCCCAGAGGTGCTATAATTCACCAGAATAAACAATCACTGGCATGTAGAGGTCAGAGAAAGCTGCATGGTCAAGATAAAGCTTTAGTGTGAAGAGTGACTAATGTTGAGTGCTATAGAGTTAAGTTCTGAGGAGCAGCTGCCGACCTTGTGGTTAGCAGTCCAGTGCTGATCCTAGATGAAAAGTTGCTAAATACAGAAAAACGGGGAGAACAGCCTAGGTAAAGACATGGCTCCAGTAATCCTCAGGACTTAGTAGACCAGTTTAGCTGTAAATAATAAGGTTAGGAAGCAATGAAAGGCAGGTTTTGTAAAAACTTTGAATATCAAGTATAGAGATTTGAAAGATGCACTATGAGATATGGAGAACCATTGAAAGTTTTCAAGCAAGAGAAATGCTTAAAACAGAAGTCTTTTAGAATCCATGTGTGGAGCCGTCAAGAGAGGAAAGTTTGGGTCAGGTAGAATAAACAGAATGCTATAGCAAAATCTAGGAGCAAAGTGAGAAGGGTTTGTATTAGAGTGGTTATAATAGGAAAAGGCACTCTGGTAGTGTAGTGGTTACGAATCGGGCTGTGAACCAGAAGGTCAGCAGTTCAAAACTACCAACTGTTCCATGGAAGAAAGGTGAGGCTTTCTCCTCCTGTAAAGATGTACAGCCTCGGAAACCCTGTACAGGGTCGCTATGATTTGGTACCGACTCCACGGCACGTAACAACATAACAACAAGAGGAATGGAAAGAGAATCCTGGGAACACTACAAAGAAAGAGGAGACAGCACTTGGTGATTGACTAGAGACTTAGGAAAGGGAGGTATAGGAAAGAGAGAACCTCAAATCTGACTTCAAAGTTTCGGTCCTGGATGATTGGAGAATGATGGTGGTAGAATACACAGATGAGAATCTAGTCATCAGTCAGTTTGAGGAAGATGAATTCAACTTCAAGAACTGGTGAGCATAAAGCAATCAGGAGGCTTCTGGTTAAGTGGAAATGTCCAGCAGGTAGATGGACAGGCAAGATAACTACTTTGAATTTCTAATGCCACCTAGGTTATTGTACAAATTGACTAGGCAAATTGTTGCTGAGGGAAGAGAACAGAGTTTAAGTTAAAGTCTCAAAGTTATCACAGAGTTAGTGACTAGGAATGAACCTCGGGAATTTAGCAACTGTTTTTAAACACATGTCATTCCTGGATACATTTCCATGGTATAATAATGTTTTTAAGTGTCACAGAAGCACATAGGATAAAATGTGAAATTCCCCTCAGAATCAGTGTGCGTCAGAGCCTGACAACAATCTCCACCCCACTGCTAAGATAACCACGTCACCATTTTCATAGGTATCCTACTATCTTTCCACTGCATGTATATACATGTTTTTGTTAAGTGCCGTCTAGTTGGTTCTGACCCATAGTGACCCACATAGGGGTCTGAGGGACGGTTGGTGAGTTTGAACCACTGACCTTTCAGCTCAAACAGACTTTGCAATCTAGCGCATTAACCCACAGTGCCATACCAGGACTCAAGATATATTTATATACATTGTTGTTAAGTGCCAGCGAGTCAGTTCTGACTCTCAGTGACCTTGTATAGGGTTTCTGAGGAGCACCTGGTGGGTTTGAATCACTGACCTTGTGGTTGGAAGTCCAGTGCTGATCCTACAGTACCACACCAGAAGTCCCACTTATATACATCTATCTGTTGATATGTACATTTTGTTTCTAATGAGATAATACTTTTTGCTCAGTGATTTGCATGTTTTTCACTAAGCAATATGTCTAAGAGATCTTTCCCACACTGGTACATTAGTCCCTCTAATCTCTAATTGAACTCCTGGTGTGGTGCTGTGGGATCAGCACTGAACTTCAAACTACAAGGTAGGCAATTCAAATCCACCAACTGCTCCACGGAAACCCTATACAGGGTTGTTATGAGTCAGAATGGACTCAACGGCCCTTAGCAACAACAACAATTTCTAATTGCCTCTATCCTTCCAGGAGAGGTTTCAATGGTGGGCTCTTTGCCAGAGCTGTGGTGTTGCCTGGCAAGAATTTTCTTTCTA